CTTTGACCGTCATATGAACCAGTTGCCAGGCCTCTGAATTTAGATTACATGCTATAAAGGTCGCGTGAAAAACTGGTCTTTTTCCAGTGCCATCGTAACTTGGAGCCATCGTAACCCAAGGAACGATTATAAGTCGAGGACTCTATGTGCTGCTGGATGTGTACAAAAGCAACATGTTTGTCATAAATACAACCTTTACAAAACTTTCCCTCAAGTCTAGTTGCAGATAAGAGACTCCCCAGCCTTTGATCTTCCCCGGGTTGCAAATCTCTGTTTTATTAGCCTCAAGTCAATACAATTCTCATTTTTTTCCACATTTAATTCACCAATGTTCAAAGCCAAACTCAGAGGCTCTGTTCCTACGAACAAACGCCAGCTCCGAGAACACACAATGGTTGCGTTCACTCACACACAGGGTGTGTCAGTGAATATCAACGAACGTGATCCAGATTGTACAACATACAAAGATGCTGGTGTGATTCCTGGAGCCCGTTAAGCCTCAAAATTACTTAATTCTGGCTTGGCCTGAGCAAACGCAGACAAGGAAAGAAAAAAATAAAAAAAAATAAAAAAAGAAATGATGCTTCCAGAAAGGAAGCTTGCCCTACCTTGTTGGCACGGAGCTGCTTGTAAACATCAGTCTGCTGCCTTATCCGACACTCAAGATCCAGCACCTGAGCTTGTAACCACGTCCAGCGACAGATGATCGCCGCTCTCTCCATCGCCCACTGGCGCTGCGCCAGCCGGCGCCTAAAAACAGAAGCATTGGCACATGGGCATTAGCGTTCGTCACACTAAGAGACACAAGGATTTAAAACCATTCATACATACATATATATATGGTGTTAGCGTCTTCACACAGATCGATGCATGCAATCACACAAGGATTGAAATACATGCATACATTCACACACAAGCCTACATAACGGCCAAATCCTAGGTTGCTCAGAAGGAAGTCACAAGAAAGGAAACTCAGCAAACCCCGGTTAAGCCTTTCTCGGCTCCGGCTTTTAACTCGGTTTCATATTTCATATTTTCACCGGAAAGTCATTTGGCAAGCTTTGGAACTCTGGCTTCTTTATCGTATCACATTGTTTTCATTCACAGCTTGGATTGAAAATGGCCAGAAGACAGATGGAAGGATGGGATATACAGATATAAATTTCTATATCTACAGTACATCACATGAGTACACCCCCTCACTTTTTGTAAATATTTAAGTATATCTTTTCATGTGACAACACTGAAAAAGAGCGTTGGTACTTACCTGATACGCCTCTTCTCATAGTGGGGGGAGGAGNATTCACTGACCTAGGGGGTATCCCTAAGGTGCCAAGCCACATGGCACTCTGCCCAGCCCCCAGCTCCCACAGCTTGGCACATTTGGGATACCCCCTAGGTCAGTGCATGGAGCTCTGCCCGGCTGGAGAGGGTGGTTGCGCGAGCGCCTGTTCCGCCCGCAGCTCGCATGCCTCCCAGCCTCACCATGCCCTGGCCCAGCTCTCCCTGCAGGGCCAGGGCACTGCTGCTGCACTCCGAGCATAACTTCTTCTCCAGCTTCCAAACTCTGGAACCCGGCTTCCGATTCTTCCAGCAACAGCTGCTCTAGCAAAACAATAAGCCCTCCCCTGATAATAAGGTCCAAGCCATATTTTGTTGTGTCAAAAGAAAATAAGACCCTGTCTTATTTTCGGGGAAACACGGTATCACAATAATCTGTTAATCATAAATTTTATTGAGTGAAATTTTATCGCCTTTACCTTCTGGGATAACTATCACAATACTCTGTTAATTATAAATTATAAACTTATCCACTTAAATCTTACAGGATAACTACCACAAATAATCTGTTAATCATACATTTTATTGATTGAAATTTTATGGTATAACTAACCAGTTGCTGATTCCATTGACTTGAGGGGGGGACGGGCAAGCTTTGAGGGGCTCTGGAGACCCGTTCATGGGGGCGCAGGAGGGATTTTGACAGACCAGGTTCCTTAAGGACTGGGCGAGGTGAGAATTCTAGAAGAGAAAAATGAAAAAAAAAATGGTTCCAAAAACTTGTTTTCTTTCCCAGCAGTGCAAAAGCCAGAGGAGTAAGAATAAAAACAAGTTAAATTAAATGAATAAAAAATTAAAATCATTAGAACAAAAGAAATGATTGAAAAACGCTCAACCCCATTTGCCATCTCAGCAGGGAACATTTCCCTCACTGGCGGCTTTCGAAGCCCTCTCCCCACAAAGCCCACCACAGCCAAACAATTCCTGGCTGGGGGATTCTGGGAGTTGGAGTCCACCTCTCTTAAAGCATGTGTTCTGACCCAGCTTTAGCAGAAGCAAGAAACAGACTCCTTGTCATGAAAAACCCCTTTATTTACCTCTTGTGAATTAATTGCATTCACCCACCAAAAAGTCCAGGCAATACTCCTTCAAGGAGTTAACTGCAGTAACAAACCTTATCAGTTCCTTGTGAGCTCCCAGCCGAAAGGCTGCAAATTAACTTATGACAAGTAGTCTTTGTGGCACGAAACACAATGAGCAAAATCTTCAGAAATACAAACTGTTGTCTCCTACAACAACCACTCCCCTTTCCTTCTATTTATTCCCCAACCAGGGAGGGGCCATTCAGCGTCCACGTGTGTTTTGCTTCCCAAGTTGACTCCTTGTCCTCCATTGTTCACCTCTCCTAACTGCTCTGCACATACGTGCATCTGGAACAGGCTCTCTTTCTTTTCACCCGCTCAATCGAAGAAATAAGGACTTTAACAACACAACTTTTCCAAGATTTCTCTTCAGGGTCAACCACTGCTCCTTGCCACCGAATGCATCTGCTACAATACAAACCTGCTTTTCAGCATTTTTGAGGAGATAAGAAGGGATGCAAGGGGATATTCCACTGGGCACCTTCAGGTGGGGGGAGGAGGGAAGCAGTGCTGGGTTTTTCCTGGAGTTCATCACCCCTGCAGGTGAGGCCAGGTGACTCGGCGGCTTCAGCCCATCTTCCTGCTGGAGGTTGCCCAGGATAACTGGGCCCTGGGGAGGGGGGAAAAAACCAACCTTGTATTTAGAAGCTCTTGTTAAGGGTGGATGTTAATCTCCAAGGCGGCAGATACTTGGACAAAAAACAAAACGGGGCATTTGTTCTGCCTGAGGTAAGATGGTGCAATGCTCATAATTCTGGAGATTACTTCAAAGCTTTACTGATTCTACATGGTGACTTCACAAACAAAACACTTTCCGGGGGAGGCTCAGAAGTCTGCCCTGTCCCTGCTTTGATATAGACAGCTTGGCCTAAGGCAAGACTAGAAGTCAACATCTTCTGGTGATTGACCCAAAGTCACCCAAGAAGCATGCTTTAATAGGGTCGTAAGTGTGGAACACCCTCAAAAGGTCGCAAAAGGGGATGATGTGACCCTGGGTTACTTTGACCGTCATATGAACCAGTT